AACCACATAAGTATACCTGTATATTAAAATGACCTGTATAAGTCAAAGGACAATCCTTTTTAGAAAGGCTACTTATGAACTGGCCAACAAGGGAAATCCAACTACATTTCTTGGGGAAGAATTTTATGGTGCTTAAAAAAAAAAGCCTCCTAAATTTAGTGAGGCACTTATGAAAACCTAACTTGATCTACTCTGCTTTCAGCAGAAGGTTGAATATAATTTGTTCACCTTCAATCTAATCATCAAGTCACTAAAAATGCATATGGATGTAGTTAGATCACATCCAGACATTTGCTTTCAATTTTAAGGTATTTTAATTTACAGACCATCTTGAATCCCTCCTAAAGGGTCATAAGTTGAGGCAGCTGGAAGCAGCACCAGCAGCTCACTTTCTACAGAAACGGCTCTAGTGCAGCACATGATAAACTTGGCAGGGCTAATACAGGAAAGACAAGCAAGCCCTGTCCTTCAGGGTGCTTTCACTCTAAAGTTCTGTCAGATAGCAACGTCACAGCTCTAAAATAAGAGCAAAAGACAATCCACTACATTGGTTGTCAAGAGGACCTGAGCTATGACAGATCTTTCAAGTGAATTAGTAACACATGTAAGCCCAACCTTGTTTCACTGTCAAAGTCACCAAGGGCTGAGGGGATTCTGAAAGACACAGAGAGGCAAGTGATGGTGGTAGCGGTAGGGTGGGATATGGCCTAGGCAGGAAGCAGAAAGACAGGATTTCTGGCTATCTTGGCTCCTTGATGATTACTACCTACCTGCTCCATGACCACTTTCCAAGGAATTAACTGTCTATGAAATGTGGCATATATTAAAGGGTATCAAGATAGACTGTGGTTCATTTCACAAACTATTCTGATATCTTAAAACAAAATGGTTCCCCCAAAAAAAGATTTTCAGAAAAGTCTACACTGGGCCAGGGAGATGGCTCAGTAGAATAAGCGCTTACCTGGCAAGCACAAGGGTCTGAGTTCAATCCCCAGTTCCACAAAAACAAACAAACATACAAACAAAAAACAAACAAACAAAAAACCAGTCTACCCTGGAAGCAAGTAGCATAGGAGAAGGCAAGGGCCCAGGAAGCAGCAAGTTTTCAGGTGGGATGCTGGGCAGCTAGAATAGAGCATGGCCTTTTCCCAGTGCTGTCTGTTGGGATAAATGTCAGCAGCTACGACTGGTTCAGCAGGGGTCCTACCACTGACAGCTGCAAAATACAGATACAGATGGTGTAGCCCCCCACTGGCACAGAGCAAAGTGATGGCAGGGGCAAAGTTCAATGTGAACATTACTTTCCCACCTTCCCACAGCTGACCAACAGCGAGATGTTTCTTTAAGACCTGGTCTAGTTGAAGAGATCAAAGAGGGGGCCGGGGAGATGGCTCAGTGGAATAAGCACTTCCCTGGCAAGTGCAAGGGCCTGAGTTCAATCCCCGGTTCTGCAA